ACACACACATATATGTATATATACACACACATATATACATACTTCAATCAAGCTTTTCTTGATCTTGAGAACTTTTCTTTTTATCCTGCACGATGTCCAACCCTTCTTATCTTAGTAAAAGAGCTGGAGCAGGAATTTTACTCACACTGGTGTTGCTTACAGGTGTCAACTGCTCAAGGACCCAATGCTTATGGGAACCTTTCCCTGGTGCAGATTGGAAACATATCAGGGTATATTGATACACCAGACCCTCCAACCATCATCAGCTACCTGCCAGGTCTGCTGTATAAGTTTAGCTGCAGCTACCCATTGGAATACCTAGTCAACAATACACAGCTGGCCTCGTAAGTCTCACTCATACCTTTAAGCTTGTTTGATACCGTGATCCTATATGCATGTAAGTTTCAATCATTATATCAATTGGCAGACAAAAAAAGAAGCAGTTTAATAATAAGTTAATAATAACAATAAATAATAATAATAACAACAATATTAATAAAAACAATACTAATAATAATAATGAAAATTTATAATAAGTTATTAAGTTCCACACAATACAACAGAATTTTTTGTTGTTGTTTTCATGAAATACAACCCAAACACAGTTTGTTACATATTTCCAGATTTTAAGTCCTCGGCCCCACAAAAAGTCCAATTCAGATTACATATATTAACCTCTAAAAGGAGATATTGGAAATGTTTGGTCAGGAAAGTGTATATGTTAACCTGAAAGAGTGATGTATAGGCATGGTTTTAAAGACAAGGATTCCTCAATGTTATGTAAATTTTAATATAAAAATGTAATTTTAAAATACTGATGCTACCATAATTACTGTTAACTTTCATAATGTTTTAGGTACTTACTTCTTTTTTCCTTTATCTTGACTGAAGGTCATCAGCTGCAATCTCAGTGAAGGAAAGCAATGGCACTTTCATTAGCACGTTGAATCTCCTGCTTTATAATGTAAGTTCACAACAGTGAGTTATAAATGTTCATTTGTGTTGTACAGGTGATCTTAGTCTGTTGCACCAGAGATAAAGCCACACTTGTATGCATATGAACATAAAGAAACTCTGCATCTATGTAAAGTTGATCTCTACCTCTTACAGATGTATGCATCAATTGTCCATGTACAAAAGAAGAATGATGTCAGATTCCCAGAAATTCTTGTTATACAGTTGATGTAAAAAGCAAATTATTGCTAATACTGTAATTATACAAACGTATACTAAATTTACTCTTACCCTAAATCCACTTGAAATAAACACTAGGGCTACATCGAATTATTTAGAAAATAAATGTCTAATAAGCAAATAAATCACTGTCAGTTGGGTGGACGAGAAGAGCCATGAAATATCACATCTATGCTTAAATGACAATTTGCTTTTTATACAGGACTCATCATATATTCAGCAGTTGTCCATCCCAATGGCAGGACTGACCCTGAAGACACGCATATTTGCAGCTGTAAAAGCCACTAATCTGGATAGAAGGTATTCAGTCACAATGTAGCCTTTCAGCCTAAATATGCCACCCACACGGTGACTCATTAAACTATGATACATGATGACTTTCATCTGTGCATAAAAGCACTGAATATGTTAAAATAATACATCGACATTATTTATTGTAAATGAACTGATTCTTATATAGTATTTTTCTAGTTTAGCGCTCAAACCTCTTTATACAACATGCCTCATTCACCGTCTAATGTTCACACTTCAATGACTGTATTGGAGAGCAACTTGGGGTTCAGTGTTCTGCCTTCTGATTGGTAGATGACCTTCTCTACCTCCTGAGCAACAGACGTCCAGCTTACATTACCTAGTATTCTTAAGTGTTCTCATATCAAAGTACTAATCAGGCCCACCTCTGCTTAGCTTCTGTCATCAGATGAGATACATGAGACACCCCCCCCCACACACACACACACACACAAACAAACACACACGGATGTTGGGTTAACTGATAATTCTGTTTTGTGCTCTGAAAGCTAGGATAGGCTCCAGCACCCTGTGACCCTTAACTGTATAAACGGCTAAGAAAATGGTCTCTCAGCATAACATAAAAGCCTACATTTATGTTATTTCTAATTGTTTGTTATCAGAATACAAAAAGCCTAAAACCTCTTAACTAATTGGTGCAAAAATAAATAAATATATAAAATGTCAACACATTTTTTGGTTAGCTAAAGTAAAATATATTAGCAGCATCTTATCTGTTTTTCTTCATTAAAAGAAATAGTGTCATTAGTAATACAGACCCACTAAGGGATCCCCTTACATACTGTATGTGTGAACAGTAAATGGGGTTATAAAAATATATATTTAATACTATACATTGTGAAAAAAACAGCACTTGTCTTTGTTTATCAGCTGCCAGATCACAGTTTTACAAACTTTTTTTTAAAAATCGAAATTAATAGAGTACAAAGAAACAACACCTGCAACTGAGTTTGAACTTTGAGCTTAGTCTATAACTACTGCAGGAGTGATTACGCAATCTTCTGTGTCAATTCTTTTTCAATATCCCCCCACAGCAGGAGCTGTGGGGGGAAATAATTATTTGATCCCCTGCTGAATTTGTGGATGTTCTTACTTATAAAGTCTCTAATTTCTAATTTTCATGTTCATTTATAGTCAGTGTTGAGGAGTAACGGAATACATGTACCGGCATTACGTATTTAAAATACAAAATATATGACTAACTACATTCCATTTAAAAAGGTGGTATTCAGAATACAATTACTTTGTTGAAATAAGTGGATTACACAGCGGTCTTTTCCTGTTTCATATGTTAGGCTATGCCCTCTCTATTTTGGGTAATTCCAAGCCCGTGGAAACCCAAACAAAACACGCATTAAGAGGCTCTAATACCTGTGTCTCAATCTTGTGGCCCATGTCACCTCTACTTGCGGCCCGCATAATGACGTGAAGAAAGTTTTTTTTTTAAATTATTATTCAAAAAGTTATTTAATATGAAGGCAGAGTGTTATAGGCATAGCCATAAAGAATGTAGCCTCATAGGCAGTGTAGTCCGTGCTGCAGGGAGAATGGACTGCCAAACCCGTTATGTGTCTGTAAGTGCAAGGAAGGGAGGGAAAGGAGAGTCGAAAAGTACAGGTTGTCAACGACCAGAAATGGGAGATGGAAGCATGTAAATATAATAATAACCACTGTAGCCAAAAGAAGCGCCTGACGAGCCCAGCTGTAAGTAAGCTATCAAGACTCAACTGTATACTGTGTACATGTTTTCCTCCGAAACAGCCTTTCAATGCCTCTCTGTCTCTCAAAGTTGACTCAGACAACAAAATAAAGCTAGTTTTCAGCCAGACATGGAACCCGACGTATTAATCAGAGGTCCCTTTACTATGATTCGGAGCAACAGACCTGTTTTATATACACACGGAACATCTTGCTTAGGATGACCCCAACCTCAGCAACAGGACCACTCTCAGAATCAACCAAGTGTGTTTTCTTTTGGAACTGTGTTTGCATTCCACCTGTTTCCCATACAAGGGTCAGTTCTACAGGCAGAAACAGAAACCTCCCACAATTCACGGATCACATTAACTCGGTGGACCGACACATCATATTCACCAGGGAGAATTTGAAAAGTGACAGCTTAGCCTTCTTAGATTGTGAGATTTCCATCAGTAATGGGGGACATCTAAAAGCTGATGTGTACCGGAAACCTACGAATACGGATCAGTATTTAAGGTTTGACTTTCATCGTCTACTGGAGCATAAACAACATAGAGCCAACACCATCCCCACAGACACAGTGGCCAGGGAAGCAGAAGAACATCACATCAAGAAGGCCCTGAGGAAATGTGGTTATCCCAGCTGGACATTTGTCAAAGCTGGGAAAGCGCCTAAAGAAAGCTCCAGCCGATCCAGGAGAGAAGGACAACTGCTGACTAAGTGAAAACCTGTAGTTATCCCGTACATGTCAGGAGTATCGAAACACTTGAGACGCATTTTCTAAACACTGCGTCTCTGTGGCTTTTAAACCGCAAAACACGCTGCGCCATAAATTGGTCCACCCCAAGGATGGGGTCCCCCAGAACAAACAGAGTAACTAAGGCTACGTTCACACTGCAGGCGAAAGCGCATCAAATCCGACTTTTCTGACCCTATGCGACCCATATCCGATCATGGTATGACAGCGTGAACAGCACAAATCCGATATTTTCAAATCCGACCTGGGTCACTTTCGTATGTGGTACTGAATCCGATACATATCTGATGTTTGAGAAAGCGACTGCTGTTTGAATGGTCATGTTGCATTAAATTCGTCTTTTACGTTGCTGACACAAGACAGACGCCAATTATCAGCGCCGGTGAAGCACCCGAGAAGACATTGTGAACGCTTCCTGGCCATCCAGTGTAGATGTTAGTGAAACTGTTGAGAAGACAACGCTGGACAAACGTGAACATTTTATTTGTACTGTATAATCTGCAAATTCTGACAGAAATCTGCAACTATCCTTTGAAGCACCACTCCTCTCTTAAACAGCAATAAGGATAATTATTAGGCCATATGAAAATAACAAAATAACTTTATAACTTAAAACAAAACTGGGTGATCAATCAGTGATCACTGTCAGCCTCTCTCGACTAACCTGGTATTGTGGATGGATTATCTCAGTTGTTCTCCTGGCTGAAGTTTGGTCTGTTTACGGCATCCTGCCATGCGATTACATTTGTTCCTGACCACCAAGAATCCTCACGTTAACTTTTATCGAGTTGAAAAAAGCACGTTTATATTATGCTCACATAGCCGTGTCGCTAGCGGTCACGTAGCACATCGTTATATACCAGCTAGCCAAACTTAAGTAACCCTACAAACGTCAATGCTGTTTAGTTTTCTGTCTTCATTTATGTCGGAAGTGAAAGCAGAGCTGTACGTTTGAATTTGTTTCCAAAATCCCTCAGTCAGGACATGCTATATTATTGGTATTATTAGCATTTAGAAGGAAGCTAGTGAGCTAACTTCCTGCTAATTTCTAACGCTGTTAAATGTCATAAATTCAGTTTTCATGGATGCCTGGATGTTAAAATGAATTGTTACACCTTGTAGAGCAGAATGCTGATCATTTTATTACAGATGAAAGACTTGAGACAGTTTTTCAACTCTCAGTGATGCCACAGTGATTGTTTGATTTATGGACCCGCACTGGAGTTTAGCCCAGACAAGGCTAGTGACGTCAGACTTAAAGACCAGGGCCATCAGTCAAACAATACTGTTTGGTCTGGGTCTAAACAGAGCGCGTTGTGTGTAACGTCTTCTTTTGCGCATGCGGGCCACTGAGGGTTCACACTAGAGCACGTTTGCTGTCACATTTTATTTGTAGTGTGAACAAGCAGAAAAAAAAATCAGATTTGATCAAAAAATCGGAATTGAGCATAAAGACCAGTGTGAATGTAGCCATAGCGTATGCTGTTAAGTGCCAGGAGGATTGCCAGGATTTATACATCAGGGAAACCAAACAACCCCTTCCGAAGCAGATGGCACAACACAGAAGAGTTACCTCGTCAGGCCAGTGGACACTCTTTCAATGATGAGGATGTACACATCCTGGACAGGGAGGAACACTGGTTTGAGCGCGGAGTCAAGGAGGCCATTTACGCGAAAAGGGAAAGACCATCTCTGAATCGAGGAGGGGGCCTAAGGGTACATCTTTCACCATCTTACAATGCTGTGATTGCAGCCATTCCCCAACTCTCTGTGAATGGTACTCATGGCCATTGATCAGTGGTTGTTGATCAATGGTCATGAGAATTTGACTAATCATGATGAAGGTGACCTCCTGGCCCATTCTTCCTCAATGGGCTGGTTTCAGTCATTATGCAAATGTACTGTTTATAACAGGGGTCAGCAACCCTGGGCACGCGTGCCACAACTGGCACGTGAAGGGTTAACTGATGGCACAACCATAGCTGGACTGGCCATCGGGCATACCGGATGGTGATTTTTCGTTTTTATGGGCCGAAGGTTTTTTCCTTTTTTGTAACGGTATAAACAATGAAAGGTGGTGGATTGGCCAGATGGTGGCCGATGTGTAAAAATAAGTCAGTTGTTTGGTGGTGGCTATGGCGGAGCTTTCACAGAGGCCAGCAGGTGGATGAGGGAAAGGGGAGGCAGGAGAAGGAGAGACCCGAGGCGGCCGCTGGTCCAAGTGTCAGGTGAACTGAACTTCAGGTAAGAAGTTATGACCTGCAGTCTATCTGGGTCAGATATAAACCAAGTTTAGGTGGAGTTTATTTTTGTTGTGCTGACTTTTTACAGTCGGTTACAATAACTCGTACTGCATACTAGCTACCATGATGGAGTTGCTATACAGCTGGGTGGGTGCTATGATGTTACTGATAGTGAACTGTATTTTATTCATAAGGTTAGTTACTCACTTTTAATAAATAATTGTCTGAATCTTACAACCAAAGTTTTTATCTGATGTAAAATGTATAGAAATCATACATATACCAACAAGACAGTGTACATCATTGTCACATCAGCGTTTGTTTTCATTCAAAGGCTTTATGGCTTTTCCTACAAAACCTGGTGGGACGGTCTCTAGTCAAAATGCCCAGGCTGATGGGCGGGCCAGCGGTGCACATCGCAAATTAGTTCGCATAGACACATTAGTTGTGCCTCTTCTTAACGACAGTATCTTAGCTAACAACCTCAACTACCAGATTCAACTTGAAATTGGCTAAAAATAATTTAGCCTACCGGTAGGAGGGACGTTGCTAGCCGGCAGTTTTTTCAAGCGATGTTGAAATTTCCACATTCCAACACTTCAAATGCTTCAGGAGCTGTCCGCTCAGCGCAGCATCAGCACCACGGAAATACACGGATACATCCGTAGACTCGAGACAGAATTCACAATGGGTTTTTGGGACTTTCAGGTGTATGGACCAATGTTATCTTTTCTGATCAAACCAGAACGCTTTAATGAGCAGCTGGATTTGTCTCCCATTAATTGGCTGAGTTAATGCCAGTTAATGCGACATTGAAATGCAGCTGATTGAACTGAAAACCTCGACTCTGTGGGGGTCAAAGTTTGCAGAACTACGAATGCAGCTGGAATCCACAGCTGTGCGTGTTCATGGAGCTTGCATTTTCACCTGCTGGACATCACTACCTGACAAGGTTAACTGTCTTCAGAACATTGCAGAGGCCTTGACAGTATTTGGTTCTACATATCTGTGTGAGCAGATTTTCTCTACACGAAGAGTGTTCTCAGGTAGCTGTCTGAATGCTGGACACTCGGAGACCTGTGTCTCTGAGTGGGAGACCAGAGATCACATTAACATGTGTATCCCTGTATTAACAAACATGCCATATTGGCCCAGTTTATTTTTCTTATCATTGTTGTGAGGAGACCACAAATAGCATTTGCATTTTCTGTTGTACAGTTCATTTGCTGTTATGGAGTTCTTGTTATGGATAAAAAGTTTCTTTTTTTGTTTCAAAATAGCTGATAACTATTCGCTGATAGCTGCAAACATCTGTGAACAAATATAATTCTATAAAGTGGTTTTATATAGTGTGTAACTGTTAATATAGAGTGTTATTAAATTTATTGCTAATGCAATCAAATGGCACATTGACTTTGAGGAAATTTTAGATGGCACTCATCATCAGAAAGGTTGCCTACCCCTGGTTTATAAGATTGGGGAAACCTGCAGTCAGCTGAGACTGAAGAAGTCACTTGGATGAGTGACAAAATGTTTCTCCCACTTTAAAAGCTACGTCCAGATTAAGAGAACCAACTTTTGGAGATACACGCGGAATAGTTTCCTATATGAGATTGGTGCAAAAAGTGCAGTCTTATCTAATGTCCATCCTACTGTTACTCATTTTATATTAAGATTTAAAAATCTAGTTGGTACTGTTATGGCGAGTAACCTTAAGTAATAGTTATTAAATCACACAGAAATAGTACATTAGATGCTAGTTGTAAAAAGCATGATAATATATTAAGTAATACAAAGTATTCAGAATACATTACTTTCATTGAGTAACATAACAGAATACATTACAAAATACATTTTGGGGCATGTACTCTGTAATCTGTAGTGGAATACATGATAAAAGTAACCTTCCCAACACTGTTTATAGTTTAAGTTCAATGAAGTGAGACACAATTTTAACCAAAACTCCAGAAAAAAAATCCCCACATTACATAAAATTATAAATGGATTTTCATATAATTGAGTTAAGTATGCATTTGAATCCCTACAATCTAGATAAAATTCTGGCTCCCAGAGATTAGATTACAATCAATTAATCAGTTTCAGAAACAGATACAGACCATCAATCAATTACAGATAGTCAGCTTATTATGTTTATAAAGCACACCTGCCCACAGAATCAAAATCTTTAATTCCAACTTCTTCCACTACCATGGAGAAGACCAAAGAGCTGTCAGAGTTTGTCATGAGCAAGACTGTAGATCTGCACGGGGCTCAAATGGCCATCAGCAAGAAGTTAGATAAGAAGGTGACAACAGCTGGTGCAGTTATTTAGATATGGAAGAAAGGCCATCAATCACCCTCGGTCTGGAGCTCCATACAAGTTGTTGTCTCATGGGGTGAGGAGGATCATGAGAAAGATGGGACATTAGCCTAAAACTATGAACTTGTTAATGATGTGAAGGCAGCTGGAACCACAGTCACCAAAACATAATTGGTAACACACTGCACTATATTGGACAGGTCTGGCATTGCCTACACCTGCTCACCCTGCTCAAGACAGCCTTGAACATCTAAAGGTTTCAGAGAAGACTTAGGACAAAGTGCTGTGGTAGGATGAAAACAAACTCAAGCTCTTTGGCATCAACTTGTCACACCGTGTTTGGAGGAATCAAAATACTTAATATCACCAAAAGAAGGTACAGTCAAGCTACAGGACAGGCATAGACATCGCGTTGGATCATCTGGTAGTCATGCTGTGGGGCTGTTTTTCTGCTAATGGATAACTTCACCACATTAACGAGCCAATAGACTGTAAAATTTTGGATGAGAGCGTCCTTCCCTCAACCAGAACACTAAAGAGGAATCATGGATGAGTCTTCCAGCATGACAATGACCAAAAACACAGCATCATGACAACAAAGGAGGAGAGAAAAGGAAGCAGCTGAGGAAGTTAAAGCTTTGAGTTGCCAAGAGGCAACCAAGTAACCTAAGGAAATGTGCAAGTTTCTGCATAGAGAAAAAGGCCAAAATCCCTCCTTTGATGTATGCAAACCAGGTGACCAACTACAGAAATGTCCTACTTTTGTGCTTGTCAACAAGGGTTTATTTATCAAGTACTGAATCATATTTTTCTCCTGGACACAGTTTGCATTTCACCATTGTGCTTTTGTACCATTGCAATCAGTAAATAAATAAAGTAGTGTCCACAATTTAGCTATAGACCAAACCACAAATGTCTTCCTCCTGCACAAGAAATGATTTAACTTGCGCTGCAATTAGCTGAATCAGTTCAGACCAAAGGAATAAAAGGGCATATTTGATTGTTGTTGTTGTTCTTCTTCTTCTTTCTATCCTACCAGTGTGCAGATAACTGAAGAGCTTTTATACTAAAACTTTGTAATAAATACAATCCACCCGCATACATGCCAACCCTCCCGATTTTTTCCGGGAGAATCCCGAATTTCAGTGCCCCTCCCGAAAATCTCCTGAGCAACCATTCTCCTGAATTTCTCCCGATTTTCCCGACAACAAAATTGAATCAGTTCGGCTGAGATTTAAATTATTAGATTAGTTTAGATCAGATTAGATTAGATTAGATTAGATTAGATTAATCCCTCAGGAGGGTTCCTCCGAGGTTTTTAGACAGCTGAATAAACGTCAAACAGAAAATGTAATAAACAGAAGTGTGAGATGGTCGAGAATTTGTGCCAGCGTCCGGTTTATTTTAGATAGCAAGGAGTAGACGGCAGAGTTTCACACCACCGAGAGAGCTCATGACGTAATTCTGAAGGCTAGACTGTCCAATTTCACAGTCGCTCACATCCAGCCTACCCGGCTTTCGGAGGACTCGGCCCAATTAGACCGCGTAGGCCGTGTCCTCAGGAGGATGCAGCCTCTGAATTTGGACAGCCCTGCTGTTTCCGGCTGGTAAATAATAACAGTAACATTTAACTTATTTTATCCGATAAATTAACACTGTAAAGTACAAGTTTTTTGTATATAAATGTATATGTATATATGTTTTTTTTCCACAACTTTGCTCTGGAGGCACCATTTCCACATAAGGCTGCATACTGAAACACAGTTATCCTAAAACAGGTTGTACCATGTTCTGTTCCTTTGTTCTGCTTTTAATCACATTTTTGTGCAAATTAGATGGAACATTCTAATGGACTACTGTTACACCACACCTTCTGGAAATCCTAATGATGACCTGCGTTACGATCTTTTCTTTAGGTAACTCCAGTATAATAACAGACCCATGATTGTGTAAAACTCTGACTCTGACTATCCTTGACAATGTTTTAATAGTCTTCTCTAATGTTGCTTTTCTGAACTAGTTGTGAAAAAGACCCCCAGACCACAGTGTTTGAGAATGGGAAGAGCCAGATGGGTCGTTTTGCCTTTGAAGTATTCCGCTTTGTAAAGCACAAGAACCAGAAGATGTCCACTGTCTTCCTACACTGTGTCACCAAGCTGTGCCGAGCAGATGATTGTCCAATGCTGATGCCAGTGAGATTGGATACTGACACACACACACATAAAAAAAAAAATCTTGGGATAAAATATAACACAATAATCTTGTTAGAGTCACCTTCATTTCAAAATGGAAAACTTCATCGACATAATTATCTTACTTAGGTTAAAATACGTAGGCTCATTTACAAATTCTTAACAACAATTGGGAAATACTTCTACTGTACATTCTTTTCCATTACAGTTTATACCTCTCATAGTTTTTTATATTCACTCTACATTCAAAGGGTAAGTATACATTTATTTGAATTAATAAATACTAGTTCTATTATGTTTTCATACAAAGCATATACTGCATTATTGCATCTAATTTAATATTAATTATAGAAATAGTTTATTTCTTGAATGTAAACATCAGCTTCACTTCAGCATTCCTAAATTCAGTTCTTCAAGTATAGTTAGGTGCTCATAGAAACATTCCTTGTAATCACAATGGGCATTTCTTAAAGCATCTGTATGTGATAAAGGATTCGTTACACAGCAAAGTTCATTGTAATAAATTTGCTGGAGCTAATCTGATGCTTCAGTATACAGTGTTAGATGAATGTCCACCTCTTCTCACCCCAACCAATCGCAGCAGATGGCCGCCCCTCCCTGAGCCTGGTTCTGCTGGAACTTTCTTCCTATTAAAAGGGAGTTTTTCCTTCCCACTGTCACTAAAGAGTTGCTCATAGAAGCAATTAGTTGACCAGATTACATTCTATACATATTTCTTCAGACTAAGTGACTGTCTGACTTTCCAAACAGACTGAGATTTCCAAATGGTCCTTCCATAGAGAAGAAAACAGGTCTACTTTATACAGATGACAAGCTGAGATCAACATTAGCTGTAACTGAATGATTGATTAGTTCTGTGTCTCCCCATTATATAATAATAAAACTACCAAAAATATCAGAGACTGTTCATTTGAGCAAAGGGGATCAAATCATTATTTCCCTCACTGCAGAATAAGGGGTTAGATATTCCTCCGATATCAAATTGGACACATATCTTGGCAACATCGATGGGTTATATTAGTAGTCTGTGTCCTGAATTCCTCATCATAAGAACATACACCACATGAGAGAGGACTCATTCTTTCTGTGTAATATTTTCATAGATCTGTGGCAGCAGGAAAAGGAGAGATTTCTCTGAGGGAAAGGGATCAAATGCTGCATCTGGAAACGCCATCCTGACTGCTGGGCCTATCATAACTCGGAGTGGTATAGTTTAATAACCCTCTTGCCTAACATTTCCACAGCTGAATAATTTTTACTGATTATCCAATGTATTACAAGACACTAGTGTATGTCAAAAATCCAAGATTTGACACCTAAATGTTGACTAAAGTTGAGAGCTTGTCTGGGTGACCTAGGATTTTCAAAACAGTATGTTAGACAAGGCATCCTTGTCTAACGTACTGTATACACGCGAATGAAAGAAAATATATACCATATGGATTACAGTGTGCTGAAATGCCATGTCTTTGTTTTTCACAGATGAAATACCAGCCAATAATTCTCAGCTGGGTAAGTCTTGTCATTCTGTTCAATAAGTGGTATGATGCTTTTGTGTGTTGTTCTACTTTTAAAGGTTATAAGATATTTGTGTTTTCACTGGGAGAAACATTTTCACTGACTTCTTTAGTCATAGCTGACTGCAGATTTTCCTAGCCTTATAAAAAGGACTAACTAACGCACTAGTAACTAACAATGGGCTGTAATATCAATTGTATAATCATTAACATGCAAATTGTCATGACTAGGGATGGGTATCAAAAACCGGTTCTTGTTGAGAACCGGTTCCCACAGTTTCAATTCCTTGGAATTGTTTGCCATTTTTGCAAACGATTCCCTTATCGATTCCAGTCGCCCCGAATGACGTCACCACGTTGCGTCATTTACCTGGCAGGAAACATGGCGGCTCAAATGCTCAAAAGTTTGATTATACTTTACGAGAACAGATGACAACAAGGCAACTTGCAATACTTGCAAAGTAGACATTTCATTTAAGGGAGGAAACACTACAAATATGCAAAAGCATTTGCTCACAAAACACGCGATAATCTTAAATGAATGTCGTGTTTTTAAATCTGCTCCGGACTCGTGAATCTCAATCCAGCAGCAGCGGTAACGTTTGCACGTCCTCTCCCATTAATGCGGCAGGTAAATAATCAACTAACAGTGCATATTATGTTAGCGCGATCTGCCTTATTACAAAACCTGCCATTACTGTGCGCTGCATTTAAGTGACCATGATGAGAGAAACAGACAGAGTCTGGCTGGATCAGATGCTGGTAGATCTCGCTGCAGTCTACCGGTAACGTCTCCTTTCAGGCCAGGATAGACGAATGTCACCGCGCAGTGACTAAGTTTGTGGTAAAAGGCTTGCACCCATTTGCCACAGCAGATGGTAAGTGAATGTGTTTAATTGTAGGCAGGAACATTACTGGATATTCTTGTGTAATTGCTACAGAATAATTTATGTTATACTTTGTTATTGCTACAGAAGAATATTTATTTTATTATTTTACCCCAGGAAATTTTTTTTCCTGGGGACCCTGTGACACCCCATGGAAGAGCCATAGGCTGGATCTCTTAAGATCTCACTGTTAGGTTTGTAAGGCCATGTTACTCCTAAATTTCTATCTCGTTCAAAGAGAAGCTATAAAACAAAGTTCTAACCTATTTGACCTTAGTGTTCTCCTTTTTAAAAAAGAATTGATAAGAGAATCGATAAAGAATCGAATGGTTAAACAGAATCGAAAATGGAATCGGAATTGTGAAAATCTTATCAATACCCATCCCTAGTCATGACCCTTGATCGCTGGCCATGAGTACCATTAGAAGATTTCCAGCATGTTTGGAATCACAGCATTGTATGGTACATCTTTTACCATTTTACAATGCTACAAATGCATTATGAGCTGGTGAAACCTGCAGCCAGCTGAGACTGAAGAAGTCTGGATGAGTGATGAAATGTTTCACCAACTGAAAATACTATGTCCAGATGAACAGAATCAACCTTTGGGATTTCCTTAACTGGATGATTGCACAATAATCTAGACAGGAACATATACCCTTCTGCAATGCCTGCGCATACTATATTCCTCAGGATTCATTTTATTGTTCAGCCAGTATACTGCTTTAGTTGTTATTGAAAATCAAATACTGAGCCGGGATATCTCAATCTGATTAAAATCAATTAAAAGTTGTGTCATTTCTCATTGGAATGGCAAAAAAGGTATTAGTGTTTTAACACTCACTGCTATTTGGCATTTTGCATGAACTTAAGAAAAAGCATTGAGAATGTGAAAGACATTTTTACATTTTGGAATGTTTTTTGTGTTTGTGCTGCTTAGCCCATCTTAAAGCTCCAGTGTTTCACACAAATACAATGACCATCGCACTCATCTCAGGCATGATCATTCTGGGTGTCATGTGCCTATGCTTCTTCATCATGTCCCTCACCCTTCTGAAAGGCAAGAGCGCTCCAGTCGGCACCCTGTCAGGAGTCCGAAACCTAACCTTCAACTGAGTACCTGAACTCACACATTTCTCATCAGTTCAATGCTAACCAAGAATGCAGAACACACGCTGTCTGTGCATGTGGGCATCAAAGAATTTAACTGTTGGAAAAAAAAAAAAAACCTGTTACCAGGTCTGTACAATGAGTATTAGTGCAGGAGTTAAGTAAAACTGGGTTTTGTGTTCCTATCGCACAAAAAGCTAAGCCTCAGCCTGCATATTTTTCATGCAGCTTTAACCCATTAGTGGGGATACTAAAAACTTACTGCAATACCTCAGCTATACAGTTTTCATTGCAGGGTACGGGATCAATTATATGGCTTTTAGTGCATTATATAGTGTATAATAAACATAGCATTTCCTGAGAGAAATGATAGATATTAGAGAGATGGATTTACTTAATCATTTATTAGGAGGTTTTTTTCCCCTAAATATGTATTTCAATCGCTTGCTTTAAATATTTTTAGTTACTGTGTTAGCAATAAACTTGATTGTTAAGGATATTTTGTACATGTGCTACCTTATGTATAACTTTTCCTGATATGTGGTTAAAATGCAACTTGATTTGTTCACGAAATGTACAAATTGTCTTCAAACGTCCATGTTGCTAATACTGCACCTTGACTTGTTATTAAAACATACCCATTTGCATATTTCTAAACATAAACTATACATTGCCTCTTAAACACTACTGTGGGATTACAAGAATTGATAAATGACTAGCATTGATATAGCTTGTATTTTTACACTACAATCCACATTTATCCATTCATGCACGCATACATGCACTGCTTGGTCAGATCATACAACACTACTATCTAATGCACACAGACACACACACATCAGGTGAGGTGGAGATTGGGGATGAGCAAGCAAATGTAAATTTCTGCATTACTAATATACAAACCTGATGTAAAATCAGTTTGGTTCCTTATCATAGTCCTTAATAACCTCAAAGACCTCTTTGCTTCATGGAGGGGCTTAACTTCCTCTGGGATCATTTATCATTTTAATGTTTCTTTTAATTTTTATAGAAAACCTAAAGCTAATATAACAGAATAGAATTCATTAAAACATTTTGTTTTGTATATATGGATAATTTTATTTAAACGCTTATGTTCCTGTACTGTGCATCCATGAAACGTAAGACGATTCGACTTGCGTCATTTCCGTCTTCCGTTTATTTACTTTCCAGCTCTTTGAAACATTATGGCAAAATGCCGAGGAAAAACACCATGTTTTTTAAATGGACTAACAATGAGGTGGAGTTGTTGCTGCGAGTAACACAAGAGTACAAAGTTGCAAAAGCAAGCAAGAATATAAACTGAGAGACGTACCACAACAAATATGCCGGAATTAACATTCCGTCTTCTTTGAAGAAAATGTGAAGCATGTACAAACTTATATTAATCTTTAATAGGGCTATGAAAACTGGGGAAAAACAAAACTGCTGTACAATGCCGTACACCATCTTAGTTGATTGGTTACATGACTGCATCATATGACTAAAATGCGTCATCGTTTTCAAAAGCCTCCGTTTTCGCAATCCACACTGCCGTGTGAAAACAGTGTTTTTAAATTCATCTACAATTTCAAAAAGATCAGTTTTTGTTTAATGTTAGACTCTTAACGTCATCATCTCCAAGATCGAACTGTGACAGACATTTTTAGGTCAGTGTAACTTATTATAATAAGAAAAAATTGATCAATGTGTAACATACAGTAAATGTTTTCAGTGCAAAGAAACTGACAACATCAGATGGAGTCTTTTAGATTTATTCTGAGCTGATAATAAATCTGTGATGTAATCGCTGTCCTTATGTATTGACAACCAAATGGAGTCTGTTATCCTGGTAACTCACTAAGAGTTGAAGTGAACTCTCTTTCTGAAACAAGAAACCTGAGTTTCCACCGTCTCAATTTTAACAAACTCAGAGATGTTAGCTAGACCTCCTTTCTGGAATAGGACGGTTTTATCTATCAAAGGTGGAGTGCTGCACAAGCTTCCCCATTGGTACCGCCTCCGGGCTTGTCATTTTCACACCTGGTCCTTGTTAACTCATCTACCTGTTGATACTAAAGGGTTGAATGATGCAACATTTTCTTGCCAGGGGAGACCAGAGAGAGTAATGGCTCAGTTGGTCGGCCAGAAAGTTTGTTGTAGATACACCATTCATACTTCAAAATGATGGGCTCATTTCCAATTTTTTTGTTGGTAGAGTCACATTGACTTTGAATGGAGAACAGCTAGACTTGTAGTCAAGACTGCCTACACCAAGACAATACCAAGACCAGAGGGTATTGAGACCAAGACAAGACCAAGACCAGGACTGAGTGAGTCAAGACCAAGACAAGGTTCAAGGTTCTCTATTTGTCACATGCATAGTTATACAAGTATAACACACAGTGAAATGTAACCTGACACGCTCCTCAACATGTGCAAAAATTGGGGGGGGAGGGGGTGTAGAGGAAAAACACATACACACACACACACACACACACACACATACATACATACATACACATACATACACATATATACACATACACATATATATACA